TATTCTTCTTTCTCAGGATTGCTTTGGCTATTTGGGGTCTCTGGTGTTTCCATATGGACATAATCTTCTATATAGAAAATCCTAAAGACTCCACCAACAACTGTTAAAACTAATCAACACATTCAGTTAAGTTCCAGGATACAAAATAAATATAGAAAATCATTTGCATTTTTCTATACACTAACAATGAGCTCCCTGACAAAGAAATAAAACAATCTCATTTACAATAGCGCTTAAAATACTAAACTTAGGAATAAATATACCCAAGGAAGTGGAAGATCTATATACCCAAAACTATAAGATATTGATGAGAAATTGAAGAAAGACACAAATGAAAAGATATACTGTATTCATGGATCAGAAAAGTTAATATTGTTAAAATGCTCACACTATGTAGAGCCATCTTATAGATTCAGTGCAATCCCTATCAAGATCCAAATTTCAACAGAAAAAACAATACTAATATTTGTATGGAACCACAAGACCCTGCATAGTCAAAGGAATCTTGAGAAAGAACAAAGCTAGAGGCATTATGGTCCCTGATTCAACTGTATTTTGAAGGTATAGTAATCAAACAGTATGGTATTGACATAAAAACAGACACATAAACCAATGGAATAGTATCGAGAGCTCAGAAATCATCTCATGCATATATAGTCAATTTATACTTGACAGTTGAGCCAAGACTATTCAGTGGGGGAAGATAGTCCCTTCAATAAATGATGTTGAGCAAACTTGGGGGATGGGAAAGGGAAGGTGATGAACCAAGGGCACAGCATTTCAGCTTTGCAGGATCAGTAATTTCTGGAGATCTGTACACAGCAGGGTGCCTAAAACTAGCAATGTTCTATCTGATACTTAAAATTTGCTAAGAGGGTTGATATTAACATGGTATTCTTATCACAAAAAATAATAATACCAAAGGGTGTGGGTGGATACTTTGAGAGGTGATGAATATGTTTGTGGCTATGATAGGGGTAATGGTTTCATGAGTGTATACTTATTTCAAAACACAATGAGTTGTGTACATTAACTACTGACATCTTTTAACATGTCAATCGTACCTTTATGAAGTGGTTTAAAAAATCCCAACCCCCTAAGAGGGTCCTAAGTGTGTGATGTAAAGAAACTGTATCTTCAGTTGACACAGTGTGGGCTTCCAGAGTGAGACCATTGGTTTGTGTATATGAACCAAAGAATCAAGAGGGAGGGAGCAGCCTGAAACTCATCAAGGATGGGGGTCCAGCCAGGACTTTGTAGCATAAGAGGGCTATGGCTGGTCTTGGAGGGGCAGCAGTCCCATTGACTGTAGTCTGGGCTGGTGACCGACGTGGATAAAGGGAGAGACAGTGGGGGCAGTGGGGACTGTGGCCAGGGACAGGGTGTGTGCTCCATCCGTGACATGCACGGCGGTGAGAGCCTGCATTTTACAAGGGAAACTGGAATTCCATTTTTGAAACATGAATTATCATCATTTTGAGTGTTGGGTTCAGAATTTTGAAAATACTATTTGGGTCCAGCTAAACATGTCAGTGGCAGATTCAGTCCTGGCTGACAGCTGGGAGCTGTTTGCTTAGACTTTGTGCTCCTGTTGGGGCGGTCGGGATAGGATGACCCAGGTGGAGTCTTTTCCACAGACCAGACTCACCACCGTCCAGTGGCTCAGGCCTTGGTGGCTGCAAGTGGAAGCTCTGGGCAGCCGAGGCGACCAGTCTGTACCCTCCTTGGCCCAGGGTTCGAGCTGGGGTGCTGGGCAGGGTCTTCTGGTCCTCCCCCTTGCTCCTGCCCTCTGGGCCCTTCTCACTGCTCCTGTCCTTGGTCTGCGCTGGCCTGGGACTTGAACCATCTCATCTTTGCCCCACAGGCTGGCCTGATCCGTATGGAGGAGGAAGAGTTCTTCATTGAACCCCTGGAGACGGGGCTGGTGGCGAAAGAGGCTGAGCAGGGCCGTGTGCATGTGGTGTATCGCCGGCCACCCACCCCCAGGTCCCCTCCTTTGGAGGGGCCACAGGCCCTGGACACAGGTAAGACTGCTGCAGGTGTGTGGTGAGCTCTGGGTGCCCTCTGGGGGACCCAGGCACCCCTTCAGAGGGCTGGTCTCAGGCTGAGGCTAAAGCTCCCTCACTGACCATGTGGCATAGCCTGTGTGCTGGGACAGGGGCCTCTGCTCTGGTGCATGGGGGCCACAACCTGGCAGGTCTGGGGCATCCGTAGCAGACAGTGGAGGCTGCCTGAGGGCCCAGTGCTGCCTGACCGCTGGCCAGTGTCAGGGAGTGGGGAGGCCCACAGCAGGCCTGCTCCCAAGCCTGAGGCCTGCGCCTGAGTTGTATCTCTGAAGAAGACATCTGCTGCCCAGGGGCATCCTCTCTCCCCTGCCTCCATGCTGCCTACTTACCCTGCACTGGGGCTGTCCTCACCCTCAACCTGGCTGCTCATGCTTTAGTCTTTTTCAGTTTAGAACCAGAGTGTCCTCTGGTTCCAGCAGTGTGGAAGGAGCTGCCAGGCGGGCATGGTGACAGCCCTGGCTGCAGCTTCTCAGAGCCCTCTAGGAGGCCAGGCCTACCTACCACCTGGACCTCTCTGGTGGTCTCAGGATCTCAGTCCCAGGCTGCAGTGAAGCCAGGCTGGGGTCTGACTGTGGTTCCTGCAGGACTTGCGGTCCCCAGGGCCTCAGGGTGTGGATGAGGCTGCCTCACCTGGGACTAGCCCTTACAAGGAGAGCTCAGCTCTCGGCCCCTGGTCCTAGACCGCTGGCTGCTGTCAGCATGGCAGGTGGCAGCAGTCAGGGTGTGGGGCCTGGGTCTTGGGTCAGGCTCTGTGAGCATTTATAGTGAGCCCCAGAGGCCCCGCTGGCCAGCCCTGCTGTCCTGTGATTTGCTGAGACACTCCTGTCACCCCAAGCAGCCCTGGCTCATTTATTTTAGGTCTCTTTGACTTCCCAGCTTGACAGATAAATTGGGTGCAGCCTGGCAGGGCACCGTTCTCATTTCAAGCAGTGTTAGATACCTTTGCAAAGGAATTGTTCCATCAGGAAGCCCAGTGCTCTCTGGAGCCGATCAATACTTCTGTCACCTCCTTCCCAAGTGATGAATCGCTATCCACCCAGCCTCATCCCCTCCCACCTTTTTCCCACCCACAGGCTTCTCTGCAGGGGCAGGAATGGAGAGTAACCCCATAGGGTGAGGGCAGGACAGAAATGGGGCAGGGGTAGGTGCCCCAGGCCAGTGATCAGGACCCTGGCCTTGCTTCTCGCTGGCTGGCTGCCCAGGGACAAGTTTTAGCTTCTGGCCTCTGCCTTCTCATTGCCCAGTGGGGTCTGACTGTGGCCTCAGCAAGCCTCCCCTGAGGTGTGGACGTGACTGCCCTCCTGGACATGGCAGCCCTCTTCCATGGCCCAGCGGCCTTGCCTTGTTTTCTGGGCTTCTGTTGGTCTTTCGCATCTTAAATTAAATCCTTCCGCCATATCCCCCATATGCCTATCTCTGGGGAGAGCTTGGAACTCAAGGCAGGGAAGGCATTTCAGACTCAGAATACTAACCCAGAAGCCATTGGCCTCTGAAGATTCTGGAGAAGGCCAGTTGCATGGGTCAGGGGCCGAGGCTGCTCTGGAAGATGGCCAGGAGGTGGAGGGGGAGCCTGTCCCAGGCTGAGCTGGAGGCCTTAGGCCTGGGCCATAGTTGTATAGGCTCCAGGCTGTGGGTCCTGGTAGGTCCAGGTCACAGGCCCAGGGTCTAGAGCCAAGGCCCCTTCCCTTGATGTCCCTGCCCAGTGTCAGCATGACCCTGTGTGGGTGACTTAGTCTACAGAGAGTACATTTCTCCTTTGATGTGCCTGACTGTCCCCACAGCCCAGGGCCGAGGCTCACTCGCTGGCTGGAGGGGGTCCAGATGCATGTTTTGCTGGGCTGGGCCGAGGACCCAGGGCAAGCTGACTGTCCAGCTTCCCATCAGTCTGGCTCTTGTCAGGGTCCACAGTGGCCCTGGCCAATGTGTAAGGCAGTGTCCTTGGCTGGGCACAGCTGCCCCATGTGCTTTCCTGCAAGAAGACACAGCTTGCTGGGCACAGAACCCCAGGCCCTCCGTGTGTGTGTGTGTGTGTGTGTGTGTGTGTGTGTGTGTGTGTGTATGCATGTGTGTGTAAGCAGACAGGAGCGCCAATTTGAGGCTTCCTCCTTCCTCCCCCAAGAAACTTCTAGAAGTGGGTTTGAAGCCCCCCAACTATGTTTCTTAGGGCAGTGGATATAGTGGTTCCTTTGGGGAAGGAGACACACGTGTCCTGGGCCTCCCAGTGTGGGAGGCTGGCATCTGGCTGGGGGTGGGGATGGGAGTAGGGGCTCCTCCAGGGCATTGACATACGTTGTCCTATTTTCCCTGAGCAGCCAGCAGGCTTGCTGGAGTGATCTCCAGAGCTCCCTGAGCCTCTGAGAATCGTCATCACTAAGTGTCCATCATTGGAGGTCACTCACTGGGGTGCAGACTACCCGGGGAAATGGATGAAAAGTGAAGGTTTTAACATGTCTTCAGGGACACATGCCAGGGTCAGGATGTGCCCTGAGCAGCTTAGTGCACCACAGGGTCACCCTTGGGCCCTGGAGGAGGGTATCAGGGTGGGCAAGGGCTTGAGGGAGAGGAGGGTGGACCCTCTCTCTCCTCACTGACTGCAGGTGTTTCGAGAAGTGCTTCTGCTTAGCTCTGCTGGGCTTGGGAGCCTGGCAGGGGCAGGCGGGAAGAGCTCTGAGGCCAGGGCTCCAGGGTGGCCTTTTGGAGAGAGGCAGCTGAGGCATCTCCAGGCCTCCTTTGGGCAGAGCCTCTCTCAGGTGCCCTGTTACCTTTCTCTGCCCCCCAGAGGCAGCTCTGTGCCTAGGGGTGGTATGTTCCAGGTGGGGGGATTGCATAACATGGCTTCTCCAGTGTTTATGTGTGTACACGTGTGCATACGTGTGCTTGCCCTTTCACACATACATAGACAGTGTCCCCTCTATGTCATGGGCCTGTACCTGAGCCCTGCCCTGGCTGCCATCTGTCATCCTTCTGGCATTCCTTGGCTTGTGGCCACATCCCTCTAGTCGGCCTCGTGGTCACACGGCCTCCTCCTCTTCTGTGTGCCTGCCGGTCTCCCTCTGCCTCCCTCTAATAAGAATGCACGTGACTGCATTTAGAGCCTGCCTGGGTATCCAGGTGAGCTCTCTCCTCCATCTCAAGATCTGCAATCTAATCACAGCTGCAGAGTCTTCTTTTGTCATATAAGGTAACATTTACAGGTCCCGGGGATGGGACATGGTGTCTTTGGGGCCACTGTTCAGCTTTGGGAATGTGAATCAGTCCCCCTCCACCCTGCCACACAAAGCTGGCAGTGCAGTGAATGGCGTTCAGGTCACGGAGGAGCAGTGCTGCAGGCATCCCTTGCCCCTGCTCAGGGACAGAGCTCAAGCACTCCGCTGGCAGCCCTGTGGCTCTGCTGGACCCTGGTCCAGGCTCAGCCAGATGGAGGCCTAGAGAAGCTGGGCCCGAGCCCACAGGCACAGAGAAGCCAGCCTTGTTACTGGTGCCAAGGGCCCAGCGGTCGGATGGTGTCTGAGCTTGAGATTCTGGGAAGGTCCCCACAGGATGGCGGGGATCCCTGGGTCATGCGCTTGTGGTCTCTCTGGTACCAGCCACGTGGTACCATTTGCAGAAAGTCCTGCTATCCCAAGACTAGGGCTGCAAACCGCCTGCAGGGCCTAGAAGGCAGTGCCACAGGGTGGTGGCAGAGAGTAAGAAAATAATTATACCCACCCTTGGACTGGCTTGCATTTCTCTGCTTTTGATGTAAACATGGACACAGAGTACGTCTCTGCTAAAAGGAAAATAGCAGTGCGAGTTTCTGGCCTTGGCCTCACCATGGGCACATGGCCGAGTGAAGACCTGGGCACGCAGGGGTGGCCCCTCCTTGGATCCCTGACCATGACCCGGTGGGAACGTGGGCCTGGAGCGACCATCCTCTTACTGCGAAGAGGATTCAGACATCAGAACTTTCATGTGAACTCTCCTGATTTTAAAATGTTTCAGATTTCTGAAAAGCACCATATGGGCCAAATAAAACAGCCTTTATGTGCTTATGAAATGCAGAGGAGGAAATGTCCTCTGTTGCTCCTCCTCGGGGCGCTGCTCTTCTGGGCCCCCCAGAACCCCAGGGCTCAGCCTTGGGACAGAGGAGGGACTGTGAGCTCCTGCTAGGTGGTTGGTTCCCATCCCCAGGAGCTGCTGCTGGGCCACCGTGCCCTCCCGCCCTGCGGAGCACATGCCCTGGTGGAAGAAGTACAGTCAGGCTCCTCAGTGACCTTGGCTGCCTTGTCCTCAGAAGCAGCCAGTGCCAAGCCTCTGCCCGCTGCTGTCAGGCTGTGGTGTCCTCTGTGGTGGATAGAGGAGGCACACCGCCCGCAGGACTCTGCCCTGCGCCTGCCGAGGAAAGCAGGTGAAAGAGGACAGGGCACCAGCCTGCAGCCCCACCAGGCAGCCCACATTCCTCCCCCCACCTGCTGACTCCTGCACACCCCGTCCGTCTCACTGCATTGCCTTGAGCTGAGTGGGAGTTTTCCAGGCTCCCGATGAGTGAAGTTCATGGCAGGTGTGCAGAGCCAGGAGCCAGAGGGCTGGAACCCTGGAGGTAATGCTGGGAGCTTGTGGGGGCTGCAGCCTAGAATGTTCCAGAGCCTGGATAATATCCTGCAGGCAGGGCAGCCCCTGAAGGGAAAGGCCCTGACCTATAATCCTGTGTTTGAGCCAGACTGCTCTGGTCCAGGCTGGAGGCAGGGAGGCCGGTGGGGAGGCCAAAGCAATGGCTTGGGGGACAGCGGAGTCCTGTCAGGACAGGCCACACATGAGAGGTGGACAAGGCTCCACTCAGTGGCAGATAGATTGCCAGGCCCACCTGGGTGACACAGTAGGTGTGAGGCATCAGGGACAGGACCCAGCCAAGGGTGATGCCTGGTGCAATGAGGAGTGGATAACAGGGCGCGGGTGTGTAGGGGGCACTAGCCAATCGG